CACACTTTTACAAAATATATTCATTTTACAATGGCCAAAGTAGTGAAAACCAATGTATTAATAAAGCACATTAATTTTGCATCCATATATTCATAAGCTAACTGTCGCAATTATGAGAAAAGAATTAACTTTGATTTGAAAATAATATAAGTAACAGAAAGTTACTCATTATGTTTTAATTTTTCACTTCAAAAAAATGTCTATAATGGACTTGAATCTAATATAGGGATACATAATTGTACATGCAGCCCGCGAAATCGTTTGGGTTGGGCAGCCCTGTTTTAAAACGTTTCCAAAAATCAAAACAATCGCAGATAAACAATGCAGATACCTAGAAAGCTCTCCTGCGAGTACGAAAGAACCAAGACAGAAGGTTCCGACACTTTCACGATCCTCCAAATGAAACCGTGAAATCTACAGATACTTATGTCTATGTATGTATATATATATAAACGAGATCTACGCTACGTAAAGATGTAACGCAAACTAATACTCATTAGTTGACAATTAAAAAAATAAATTACAAACATATTTACAATGATGGAGTTACGACTACTGGCCTTCGCTTCCACATAGAGTTGAAGTGATATTCGTTCCGATGAGACACCTAGTATAATCACAATGATACAACAACTATATAATAATCGTTACTTTAGTAAATACTCCCTTACTATCAGTGAGAACAGCGTTCACGTTGCGCGAAGTAGTAAATAGTTCTTATTACAAAAACTGAAGTTTCAGGTGAAAGTCAAACACCGCGATTTCCATTCTTATTGGCCCGAGGAGAATTTTCCTCTTTCAGAAAATGTTTTTCCTAAGCGGCGACAACGCTACATAACAACATAAACGTTATTCAATAAATTAAACGAAACAACTTAACGTCTTTGTCTTACTTTTTCTTCGGTAGATAGTTACACATATTTTTACCGAATTTGTAACGTTGTCACTGCAACGAACGTGGAAACTATCGTATCACCGATTCGAGTTATTAAAACGAACGGAATATCGACAGCGTTCCGAAAGAAGTAATAGCACAGCTTATCATAAAAACGGATTTTTATTCGTTACTCTTGATACGACACGCTAACTGAATTTACCATTCAAGTATGGTAGCATGGTCAACTCGAGAAAAAGAATAGTCGTGCAATTAGTGTTGCTAGGTATTTAGCAATTTCTTTTTCGATATCCAATATCGCTGGAACGTTAACGTACACGTTGTTTAACCCGAGTATCTCGAATGGAATAAAATGGAAATGTAAGTCATTCGTCGTCGTTCATATCGATCATGTAGTAAGGACCGTGGAGATATTATAAATAGAGCAGAGGAAACATAGATTGAAAGTGGAAATGTTCCATGGTTTATCTCCCTTACTCTATATATAATATTTCTATGGACGCTGTAGCTTTTAACACTTTATCTAGCGGGCTATTTAGAAACAGTCTTTAATTAAAGAAAGAATGTTCTACAGTGGCATATGCCAATCTAGGCTGACAATAATTCTTCCATACTGTTACTGAATACATTGAAAGCCAAGTCTGTTTCCAAACACTAATCATTGTAACGAGACAACAATCGACACAGTAAATAAATTCGAATAGTTAAATACTGCAATTAAAAAACCTATAAATTCCCGGTAAATAAAGTGTTAAACAACTAACTAACATCGTTATATCGATCATATAGTACAGACCGTGGAGATATTATAAATAGAGCAGAGGAAACATAGATCGAAAGTGGAAATGTTCCATGGTGTGTCTCCCTTACTCTATCTATAATATTTCTATGGACCCTGTAGCTTTCAAACAAATAAATGAATAGTACTTCGATTCGATACGGGGTTGTCAGCATTAAAACAAGAAACTCGAGTCCGCAATATTCGTTCGTCGTTGCGAACGTTTATTAATTACAGAAACGCAATTTGATTAATCGTACAACTAAATTGAGAAACTGGAAGAAGAACGTTTCGCGAATCGCAAAGAAAGAAAAAGAAAAAAGGTTACAGTTAATTACTTTAAATGTTAATTGAACAATGCAAGGTGGAATTGTTTAAAAGTCTTACGACAAAAATATATATGTATATATTCGCTTTAATTGCTCGTAACATTGCTCTCCCAATTTCTCAATTGCATCCACTGTACATACTACGTACTGTCGAGTAATCGTGTTCGCGGCGTATCGAACTTATAATACCAACATCAACGTAACTCAACGTCAATTTCGTTTCTCGACTTCTCGTCGTAAATGAATCGTTACATTCAACCGAAATACACGCGTAATTGCGACGCAACGATGAACATTCCAGACCAGTGGCGCATTATCTTATTTTATAAACGAGAAAAACATCTGCCTAAGTTCCCAATCAAAGGGGCCTCTAAAAATTCATATTCTATACGTGATACACAAATTCAAAGCGTCATAATTAGACTGCGGATCTTTATGCAAAATAAAATCTTCGCGAACGTGAAAATTGAACCTAAATAGAAATTTATTTTATTCTGCAAATATATTATAACGCGGACTTTACTTTCAATCTTTTTTATATTCTTGCATATTGTTTGCATTTTGTAGGTTCTCGCACATTCAAACTTTCTACAAATGCATAAAGATCCGCAGTCTAGTCATAATACAAACGAGTTAACACGTTGACTGCCACGTCACAAAAATGAATCTGGATAGGAGCTTCTAAAGAGATAGCTTCTGAAGAGCTCACGAAAATAATTATATTGCCGTTTCTAATTCTACAGAAAACAAATTTAACCTCTCAGGAATTTCCACGATTATCAGGCTGACAGTTAATGTGTTAAAACTATTAAAATGCCCCTACATAAATACGTTTGTGTTATGTTGTATACTATGTTGATGATTTAAAAAAAAAATCTAAGATGAAATTAAATCACATTAAAAATTCCCTCGAGGAAGAAATGTTATATCGATAACTTATATTGACGATACAATAAAGAGAATCGATGAAAACTTATCAGATTAGGCGTAGGTACATGTAGTATTTCAGAGGTGTTTCTTTTACATTACGTATAATTCGTTTGTTCCATTGTCTCGACGACGTCAGTTTAAACTCGAAGACGTTCTTCGTTCGTTTGTGTGTTTCAGAGCTCGAAAGATTGAATTTTATCTCGGACTCCGAGGTGTAACGCGCCACCGTGTGTGTGTTTTTAATTTATAAAAAGCGTAATCGCGACCCGCTGATGCGTCGACGCGGCGTATTGCGAGTTCGAAGATCCTCTAAGTAAGACCGTGCCGTAACGATAAGTGGAATCAAGGTACAATTCAATTTCCAACGGAATCCTAATGTCACGATAGGTCCTGCATTTGTAACGTTACAGTCGTATCCGCGATTCTCTATGAACACGTTATAACACGGTAAAATATATGTGCATGTAACTACTTAAGAATTATTACAGAGCCGCTATCCTTTTTATCCGTTTACATTACATATATGTTATACAGCGTGTCCCGTGTGAAATGCTATAATTTATTTTCTCGGGAACCAGTGATGCTATAACTTCAAAAACGAAAAATCCTACGTTTAAGTGACTCGCTTATTATTTCTCTTTTGAATGGAAGGTGACATTAATTTTGTGTCATTTGAATAGCTCTTACAACATTTGCTTCGTTAGTTACAGAGAAAACTGTTTGTAACACTCTACACGGGACACCCTGTATGTGTAGCGTGTATACATATATACGTGTACATATACACAGTGTTCTGAGAACAGCAATACGAATGAAAAATATAAAAATTCCCCGATTGAAAGAAGAAAACAATCGAAAGGGGGTAGACGCCTCTTTAGCTATCCGCGGCTGTGCGTTTGCTCTGGGGAACGTTCACGGTTCTGAACGGATGACAAAGCTTCGTACACAGTCAATTTTTTGTCAAATCGTGACTCGATTCGAGAAAATCGAGGCTCGGAAAAAGGTTGAGTCACTTTTCTACGCTTCCATGATTTCAGCTACGCAGAATCCTTACATTTCTCGCTTGTACTGCTCTATTATCGACACATCTTATATATTATATTATAATATATAATATACATATATATGTATGTATTTATATTTGTATATGCACGGTGTCCCATTCATCGTCAGCACCTTAAATACATCTGCTACTATTGAAAATGTGAAAAAGTGGTCCAGTGGATCACCTTGAATCATTTCAAGGTTACCAGTATTTTTTTTACATAGTACCATACGTAAGCTCAACGATTCATGGATGATTCATAGCCCTGAGAACGAAAAATTAGTCCTCAATCCTTAAGATTAACACGCAAAACTCCCAATCTATCTTTTATTCGAACCTCCTTCGCTTATGGATATCTCCCGAAGCCAGGATGTTATAGACTCGTCGACCTGCACGATTCGAGCGTTCTTTTGTTCAGTGGCTCTGAAAGATCGTTAAAAAATTGTAATCGTTACGAAAATGTGCACAGTAAAAAAGAAACAACGGGCGTGACATTCGTCGTGTACGATGTAGCTGGAAGAAATGCGATTCGAGCGTGTGAGCGTTTACATGGAGATATATTCGACAAGGTTTCACCCTCCTCGTGCTAAGTTATCAGCGGATTGTGAACTTATTTTACGAAACGGGCAGTGTTCATCCGTGTAAAACTAAAAGGAGCGTCGCAGTCACTGGCGAGGAAGCAGTCGCGAGGAAGCAGTCGCGAGCGTTACAGCGAGCATTACAGCGATTGTTGACGCGATATGTTCGTCGTATCGAACGTGCAAACATCACCTGTCCGCCTGATTTATCGTCCCTGGTTTACATTCTGCGGAGTAATTCTACTTTCCTCGATTTTATAAACATACTTTTTCGCCCTCAAGGTTATATCACGAATCGTATCATGGCCTGTATGGGCTCGTCAAACGTTCAAGTCGCACGCTGAATATCATTTTACCAAATAATTTTAGTTTGTTCGCAATATAACGTACACATCTTAATTATACAATTACGTAACATAGAGGTTTAATTAACAAAGACATTGAGTTAACGTTTCCCTTAGATACTCTTTCGTATCTTCAATAGTAGAGCGAAGATGTTCGCGATAAGTGGGACACCCTGTATATATAATTCTCTGGATGGTGAGTGTCCATCTTACTCTCTCGCGCGCGAGCTCTCTTTCTCTCTCTCTCTCTCACGCACACACACACACCCACGCACGCATCGCTCTTTTGCACTCTTCGTTATCTCAATTTCGAATGTGTACCCAAGGGCAGTAACCCAATTTTTTTTTTGTCTTTTATTCTTTCTTCGTTTTCGCTTACGCCAATTATTCCAGGTGTAAGACTTATTAAGTGGTCAACAATAAGAAGCACAGTTTTAACAAGTAACATTTTGTTGTCTTTCGCGCATATGCCCACGCATTCTCTTCTATACCCCTTCTCCTTCACGTCTGCTTCCCTATCTCTCGCTTTCATCCCCGTCTAAAGCCATTCCCGTTTCCCTTTCATTCACTATAGTTGTCTTACTATGAAAACTTACTCTATCGACATTGCTCAATGACTTATCGAATGATCGAAGAGTTTCTCGCGGAGCTTCTGTCTTCTTTTTCCTACTGATTTTTGCGTTGTGTTTTGAGTTATCTAGGAAAGGAAATTTTCACATAAATCACTGTTCAAGTATGCTTCTATAGATGGTGTTTGAGAAACGGTTATAAAGGGATGAAACCAGCGGCGAGTCTGGACGCGTAGAGCCCTGAAGCTAAGGAGCGAGAAGCTGAGGAGTTCTTTGTTTCTTGGATATCGCAATGCTTCTGAATAGTATTTTAATTAAAAAATTAATAAATAACGAGTTGAAGCTTCGTTATATTTAATTTTACAGTAGATCCGCCCCTGGTTGAAATCCGTGTGGGCAGAAAAGGTTCTCTCGTGTATATCGCATCTAAAATCGGCACAAAATCAATTAGCTGCTCAAGGTCACCGAGGAGGACATCCCCGCTATTCTATCTCTCGCCTTTTAGCGTATACTTTCCGTTTCTCGAAAAAAGAATCGTAATAATCACGCCTAACGCGGTTTACAGTCAGAAAAAATGACCCGGAGTGGCTGATTAATTTTTCAATTTAAGGACCTCGGACGCAAACGTAACAACTCATTTATTTATGTTCAGTCTGCGGATTTTGCGCATTTACGACGTGCAATAATATAGAAAATATACGTAATGTATATTGTATATATTCTACGATTATTATAATAATATCGTTAATCCATTTTGCATAAGTGCACATACATTTTAGTTATGTTTATCATTTATTATATTACTTTATATCGTGAATGCATAAAATCCGCAGGCTATTCGCGTTTAACCTTTTCAACCAACTGTTTATAGTTACTTTGAAATCTCGAACAGTATACACCGAAGGAAAACTGATGAATTTATAACTCCGTGCATTCATAGTTTAGAAAAATGACCGGAAACAGTTGGTGGAAAGATTCCAACCCAAACAATGGTTTGTTACGAGTACATCCAATGAAATCAATTTTCCTCCCAGATTTATATGAATCGTTGTAAAATTTGTACAATATATCGGTGAGTTAAAGTCGTCGTTTCTGAAATGAATGGGCGTGAAGTAGATTTCATTTTACCGATAGTGTTAGATTATGTCTGAAGGGGTTAGTAAGCCGGAGCTTGGAAATCGGGCATCCGTTGTTGCTGTTGCTGTTGTTGCTGCTGCTGTTGACCGAATGGCGGATCTTGGTATCCAGTGTCGTTCGCGTCAGGGTAGCTTGTATATCCTGTCCCACCGACAGGATCAGCCTCGTAACTGGGAGCGAAAGCGGCGTCGGTTCCTTGCTTGAATCTTTGGAAGGCGAACCAGGCGCAGGCGGCCTTCAACAAGAAGATAAAGAGCACGTTGAAAACAAAAATAATGCTCCATTTTCCGTGCTTGATCCTTAATAAAAATAAAAACTATCAATTATACGCTCAAAGAATTTTTAGATTAACCCTTTGCATTCGAGGCCTTTTTTTCTGGTATCTACCAGCAACTCGAGATGCTTTCTTAGCATTCTATTGCTACGAATGCTAAGCTATCGAGATTTGAGGATCAGATCAGGTTTATTGACATTTCGAGTTCCAAAGAAATTAAACCTAAAGAAACATTATTGCTGATAGATTTGCTGCGTGAAACCTAATGAGTGGGAGTCACCTCTCGAGTGCAAAGGGTTAAGAATGTTTATCCTATATGTACCCAGGTAAAAATGGAGAAGAAGGAAAAGGTGATGGCGCTTTGGGCGTTGCACAATCCGTAGTCGCCAGGCGGTGGACTCGACTTGTTCCAAGCGTTAGTTAAGTAACAGAATCCAACGAAGTAAAGGAATGCCCAGAGACCTGAATATCTAAACAAAACATTAAGGTAAGCAAGAATTCGGTATGAAAGGATTCAGACATGATAAAGTTAATTCTAGAGCAAGTGAAAAGAAGTTCTATAGAAGTTCTATAGAAAAGTTTACTTTGTCAATCGTGCTGAGTCGTGTGTCATGCACTGACAAGGTAAACATTCTTTTCGTACAACCTTTTAACAGATTAATGAACATTGTAACAAACGTATTAACCCTTTGCACTCGAGAGATGACTCTAAGTCACCACTAGGTTTCCTTTAGGTTTAATTTCTTTGGAACTCGAAGTGTCAATAAAATGATTGTTGTTGAGGCAAAGGTGACTTGATTTTCAAATCTCAAATTAGAGATCTCATTTTTAAAGTCAATCTAAGCTTAGCATTCGTGACAATAGAATGCTAAGAAAGCATCTCGAGTTGTTGATAGATACTAGAAAAAAAGGCCTCGAATGCAAAGGGTTAAAGTATACATGAACACTAAAACTACCAAGGTCAACGCATACCTATTATACATACCACTATCTTTGTAAGTAGAAGGAGGCTTTATCAAGAAAATTAATTCTCTGTTACCATTATTACCCCTCAAAAATTGCAGTGAAAACACCGTTAGCAATCCAGTGAAGTTTAGAAAGACGTTAGTTGTACATAAGTAAATTTGACTTGGTAGTTTTAATGTTAAGAAACATTTCAAGCAAAAGTTGCCCATTACAAGTTGCCCATTACAAGTTGCTCCCTGTGCCATTTGACACTAAAGCCTCCAAGAAATCAGCTTGTGGCCCTTTATACAGACACACCCCATAGAGAGAATGTCATTTTCATGTAGAGAAAATGGCAATAATACCCCAAGTCGAGGAGAACGAAGTGCTTCCTAGTCTTAACAGAGGACATCTGCTCGAAGAAATACTCCCCAACCAGGAACCCGATGCTGGCTAGAAAGGCGAACACTCCGATTCCTATCCCGTAATTGCAGGCGTTGTGGTCCTCGTTGTAGATGCATACCTCTTTCCCGTCTGCCCTTGTAATGTAACCCTTATTGCTTATGCATCCAAACACGATTATCGCGAAGAGCTGGAAAGTAAAACAATCATTTCAAGACGACGTTAAGTATAATTCTACTTTAACAGAAACATTACATCAGATTACAGACATTATAGCTACACCACCAGTTACTAACAAATATTCGACTCTGAAAAGCACAACTATCAATCGAGTAACTGAGTCAAGACAGAAACAGATTCATTGATTGTTAAATGATGTTGTACTTGGTGACAAAAAAAACTTTCTCAATTATTAAGGGAGATGAAGGACATAGCAGTTGGCAGCATCAACGAGGAAATGCTTCACAATTTATGGGTGAGCTGTCTTCCAGTTTCCATTCGACCACAATAAGCAACTTTGTATTCTCAAATAAACTATTCGACTGCATCAACCCTTCGCAGTACAGATCATCTGGTCTCTGTGCTTCTTCGTTGAGACTCACTGTACTACAAAGGGTTGGAGGAAGGGAAGGGGAAGGGGGGGGGGCGGGAGGTTACATTAGGAGACTCGATATCAAGTGTTTCTCGTGATTACAAGGTAGAAATTTAATTTCGACTTGGTTCTGCCTTGACATGGAAATCGAATAGGCCAGGAGAATTTTGAGAAATAAAATAAAAATCAAAGGAAATTTGTTGTAAAATGGAATATTTAGGTTGGACGTGATTTTTTTTATTTTTTCTTGTTGTTTATTTATGTTATCGTGGTGAGTAGTAGACTGGAGACTGAATTACCCATTATTATGTATTATATATTGGGAACGATTATTTAAACATTGTTTCATGAAAATTTAATAACATTATGAAAAAGGTTAAAAAGGAGGTATTTTTATGTAATTCGAATGTGATATTAATATCGTTGTTAGTTCATATATAATAATATAATTGAGAAAATTTATGTATTATTTATTTATATATTATATTATAAATATAAGTATATGTAATATAAATATGAATTTATATTTATATGAAATAATATAATATATAATTATAATATAATAATAATATATAGTAATATTATTACTATTTATTATTATTTATTTATTTATAAATTTTTATATTACAATTGACAAAATTTGTATATTATTATATATAAACTAACAACGATATTAATATTAGTTTCGGATTACATAAAAATACCTCCTTTTTAACCTTTTTCATAATATTATTAAATTTTCATGAAAACAATATTTAAATAATCGTTCCCAATATATAATACATAATAATGGGTAATTCAGTCTACATTTCCTTTTATTTCTTTTATTTTATTTTATTTTATTTCTAAAATTTTGTCAATTTGCGCGAGATACGTGTCAGGTTTCGTCGGAATTTCGGACATTTAAAATAATCAATACTCTCAGGAACTCCGTAATTCAGCACTCGTCGATACCAAATCTAAATTATTCGACAATAGAAATCGTTGATATCGCAAAAATTTACGCTCGCTATGTTTTGTTCTCGTAAGGATACCGATGTCCAAGTATCACCTCGGTTATCGTAATTATGGAACTACGATTACCGCGAAATATTTCGAATTTATTTATAGCTATTTATTCATATTTGGAGATCGATGCATCTTGACAACGGCAGATAACGAAATTTCGTACGATTCTCGCCCGGAGAGCGTATAGATTTTCCCTACCGTTCCGTAGAAAGCCAGACGATTCAAGTACCACGATATTCGCGCAATCGTGAATTACTCGGGGCATGAAACTTCAATTAATAGATGTTCCCTTTCTCGATACGATTTCCTATATTTTCCAAACTGCGATTATATCCTCATCGAAACCGTGCACCCAGGCCTCGAATAACGCCCAAAATCGATCCCAATCTCACCCTCGATCAACTTAACTCGATCATAAACTCGTTTCCCTGCTTCGAAACCGAAAATCTTTTCGGATCTCTCATTAACCGCGAATCGTTTCTGCGATCTGACACCAGCGAGATTCGCCTCGTCGAGAATCGCACTTGCTTCGACGAACATTCGGATTACACCTTGGACGTTCTGAATCTATTCAATTTGTTTGAACGACGACGATGGGATTTGTTTGAAAAATGAATAAAGAATTTTACGGGATCCTGTATTATGGGGTGTATCGCAGGAATTCGCGAAAAATCAATAGAACCCCATCGTGTTGGATTGGTGGGGGGGAGTGGTGGTTCACCCTTTAAAATCAATGCTCGCCGCGTAAAATCGACATTATCGTTGATACGCGACGACGTCGTCGAAGCCAGGGGTTAATCGGTGAATTTTCGATGAGAGAACTTACCAGGCATACGGCTTTTAAGATGACTTGAGGCCTTTGAACGAAGGCAATGGGGTCGAAAGGAGCTCCTGCCTTTCCTCCGCCGTACGCTCCACCGTCCATCTTGTTAGTGCGACTGAGCTGAAATTTGAAAGCTCGAAGCTGGCGGAAGCGCGCATGCGCCAAGAGTGGCTACCCTTTTTTCTACCCCCACCACTGTCGCTCTTTTGGGGTGGATCCTCTCGCGAGCGCGCTTCGGGTGGATCACGAACTGGAAACGCGGCGCAGATAGTCCGGCGGCCATCTTGTTTTCGTCAACTGGTAACGCTATCTGTTTCTAACGCGGGAAAGTTTAAACATCTCTTCATTCATTCATTTATTTAAAGTATGTAACTTATTATACACATTGACAAATGAAAATACAGGGTGTCCCAAAAATGTTGTAACTCCTTCAAAGAGGTGGTTCGGGAGGTGATTTGAAACAACTTTTTCCTTAGCGAAAAAGAGAACATTTTTTTTAATACCTTCTGTCGGTAATTAGATTGTAGTGGCGCCATCTAATGTCGAAAATAGGAACTATTCCACGACAAACTTGGGCGTTTTCCCGATAGAGACGCTGAACATACTCTGAAGGTAGTTCGGTATGTTCACCGCTAGATGGCGACACAAAATTCCCGCGGGAAATTTGAATTTTCTTTTGATTTAATTAAAGTTCATTAGAAGCATTTGTACTACTCATGAACACTCATACTACACTCATACTATCGAGTAGTTCAAGAGTCTTTCTCGTATAAGTAATACATTAATCAATTTATTTTTCATTAGTGACTTGTCTCGGCTTCGCTTGTGCAATATTAAATTGTTTTACTAAAAGTTTATTTTTTAACCAAGTTCTTATAAGATCTTATATAGACCGTAAATTCACCTTCCTTTTAAATTTATTCATATAGATTGAAATTTAATTTTAATTACGCATCCAATAAAGATAATTCATTCTAACATGGTCGAGTAAACGCAGTTTTTGTTTTCACTCGATCGAGTTTGTTCTCTATATGAAATTCGATAATTTCTATCTAAAGAATCGCTATTGACATTAATTATTTCTTTACTCGTTAATACAAGCATTTATTAATACATACGAATTATTTGCGATTTAGTTATTAATTCGGTATTTAAGTTTCATCCGTATCAAGTTGATAGCATTGTATAACGTATGGCCAATCAGCGCTAGTCTTGACACGCCCCTCGAATATTCGTTTTCGGTGACCGAATGCGGGTCAGAGAGTAAACAGTTTCGATAAATTTTTCATTGATTTTGTAATTTCGATTGATTGATGCTCTGATCGACGTTCGAAAAATTTGTCAATTGTTTAAAATGGTGAGTTAACGCTCCCAGTTAATAACTATAACGTTATATTTCTTTAAGATTTCGTCAACTAAAATCGTTGCTGTAACTATTAATAGAGAACGTTACATACAATAAAATTTAATTTTTTGGAATCTTTTAGGGGCAATCGAATTTTTAATAACTGTACATTGTAAAAATTAATCATTTTTAACGGTTTTAAAGGCACTGAAAGAAATTTCATCTAACCTAAAATGATATAAACGTCAAAATGGCGGCGCCCACTGACATACATTAAAATTTTGATTATTCGATCATTTCCAAAGAAATGTGTACAATATTATAAATATATATGTATATCTCATCCTTTCCTAATAATTGTCAATAACTGTCTTAATACTTGTTAACAATTGTCAAAAATTGACAATTTAACATTGTAACACTTTCATTTCTCATTCAAGTTAAATTTGATTAATATTGTAATTATACTTAAACGAATTTAAATAAATAGCGAACATAACAATATTTGCTTCTACTTGAATTTAATTAAAGATGCATAAAATCAGTGGTTAATCACAATCACGGTGAAGTTATGTGGATAATGAAAATTTATTTATCATTACGCATTATTATTAAAGACGGAACAACAGATGGATTGTGCATTGGATTTGATGAGAAGACTGCCACCGCAGCAAATTGAAAAGAACTTAAGTGATTTAATAGATTTAGTGCCATCTCTGTGCGAAGATCTATTGTCCTCTGTTGATCAACCTTTAAAAATTGCAAAAGATAAAGAATCCGGAAGAGATTATTTACTGTGCGATTATAACAGAGATGGAGATTCCTATAGGTAATTTAAAATTTTAAAAGATGCTAATGTTCTTTTAAAATTCTTTTCCTTCATATATTAAAATTATACTATCCTATTTTACTAGACTTAAAACTAACTTCTTAATTCTAACTTTTTCAGATCTCCTTGGAGCAATACGTACGATCCGCCACTGGAAGATGGTTCGATGCCTTCCGAGAGACTCAGAAAGCTAGAGATCGACGCGAATCACGCGTTCGATCAGTACAGAGAACTTTATTTCGAGGGCGGAGTTTCTTCTGTTTATCTCTGGGATTTGGATCATGGTTTTGCAGCAGTGATTCTTATTAAGAAGGCTGGAGATGGTTCAAAGAGAATTAAGGGCTGTTGGGATTCGATCCATGTAGTAGAAGTCCAAGAAAAATCTAATGGAAGGACTGCGCATTATAAATTAACTTCTACTGCGATGCTTTGGTTACAGACTAATAAGCATGGATCTGGAACAATGAATCTTGGAGGCAGCCTTACTAGACAAGTATGTTTGTAATTATTAATTTTATTAGGTAGACCGAAAATTAATGTTGTTTATTTTATATTAGATTCAAACTTACCAATAAATGTCTATGTTTAATTCATTATATAACCCCCCTCATTGTCAGCAACCTTTTGTCACCTAGTGTGCAAATTTTCAATCCCAGAAAAATCAATGAGCTGATAAATGATAAATAAGTATTTAAGATGGCAAAAACGACATTACTTTCCAGTCCACCTAATATTACAATTAATATCGTACCGATTATTTGTTTCAATTAAGTATGTATCGAATGCACTTAAATTTAGTAAAATATTGCTTCCAGGCGGAACAAGATGCTCAAATAAGTGAGAGTTCTCCGCACATTGCTAATATTGGACGTATGGTCGAAGATATGGAAAATAAAATCCGAAACACCCTAAACGAGATTTATTTTGGCAAAACAAAAGATATCGTGAACGGATTGAGGTCTGTTCAATCTTTAGCCGATCAGAGACAACAAGCTGCCCTCAGGCAGGATCTAGCGGCCGCTCTTCAAAGGAGGAACGCTAATAATTGATCCTGCGAGGAACATCAACTTTCCTTCGATTTTGAAGAGTGTCAATAAAAAAAAAAACCAGAAAATATGAAACAGATAATCGTAAATGATGAAATTAAGATTCGATTTGTTGCAGTCACTGTGACAAGAATTTTCGGACGGTTTCCTGTGATGCACAGGGTGCAATGGTAAAGATGAATTTTTCCTGAAGTATTAAAGAATTTAAAAAAAAAAAAAAAAAAAAAATGAATAATTGATCATCAATTATTAATTATTTCGAGTTTTCGAATAAAATATTAAGAGACATTACGAGTGCTGGGTTTTATATATAGGATGTGTTTAAAGGTATGTAACACATTCTATCGATGTAGTTTACTTGGAAGATAATCAGTTGACGATAATTTCATAGAATGTATATTTGTGTTCGAAAATCTTTGTCCTTAAATACAGGTATAACAAATTCACGTACTTATATGTCGTCTCATTGTGCAATCGTCTCTTGTATTATCAATTTAAACATACACGTATCGAATATTAATTTAAGAAAGCGTTGTTATGACGTTTCCTTACATTTTCATACTTTTGATGTATCGTTTATTATTCGTTTTATGAATCGCTATATTCCTCGTTACTTCTATAGAAATTCGACCTATGCGAACGTACAAAGCCTTCGTGATAGTGCTTTATGAATCTTTTTTTTCTTTATCAAAGTAATATGATTTTGATCATCTAGTGTACATACACGCCACGTCTAAGACTTATAGTCAATAAGTTACAAAAAACATGTCTCGTAATTGTACAAACGAGTCTAATTTTTACAACGAATAAATTAGATTAAAAAAAAAAAAAAAAAAAGAAACAGTCATCGGCACACAGACGCATCTTCGTTTTTGTGTTACATATCTTTCGGCATACTGCGTGAATGCGTGTGTATATGTGTGTATGTGTGCGCGCGCGCCCGGCGCTAGGTATTAAGCGTGAGCACAAATTATATATATACATATGTATATATGTAATGGCACTGGTAATGTTTTTTTAACCATTAATAATTATTAATAATACAAAATGTAAGAGTATTAATGTTTGAAAATGTAGGAATATTAAAGAGAATATTTGCGAATAAATTTTTAACACTGTTCAATGCTTTCCTAAACAAACACTTAAAACGTACTAATAAATTAGTTTAATTCCGAACTAAATGAAAACATTTGCGAACAACGATTTTCAGGTTCATATGCAGGTATTCGACTTTAAATTAAGCTCGAGTAAGTATCGGATGTAATGTTCAAAAAACGTTTTCAATTACATTCAAATTTTATTCAATTTAACGCAACCGAATTTACTTTTTTCATCATTGTTATCATCGATCATTTTTGCGATCAATTATATTCGTAACATTATAGTCAAATTACGTTAATACGAAGTACTCTATTTTAAATATAAAAAATTACTAGTTACAAAACCGTGAGTTTTATGGACCTGCGTTGTGCATAACTTCTAATCTAAAATTCCTAACAGAGATAGTCCACTACAGTCTTCGTAGCATTAATTAACGAAAAGCGTACGACGAGAAAAGCGATAAGAAACAAAAATAACTAAAACGTTACAAAAAAAGAAGTCGCCCCCAACCTAATTGCCTACGAAATGTGATCATTAAAAACAACTAAATATTATCGAAGGTGACATAAAAGCACAAATGGCTTTTTGTTTCCTTTATTTATCCTCCATTTACTTCTGCCGTATAAACAAATGCTCGTTGATATCTGTTTATTTATATACTTCTTTTACGTTTCGTGTTATCTGTTCGAAATTCCATAATTGTGTACTTTCACATATACTTTACCGCTGCGTGTGTATGTTATGTATCTTTGTCTGCTTATATACGCCAATGCTGGTTATATCTTTAGTATCTATATACCATCGTATATCGCAGTATTTCGTATTATCGGTTGATAAATATTTTGACAATTCGTTTAGTCAGTGAACATTGAATCAAAACGATATTTCGAGAACATTTTTTTTCTTTTCAATTTGAAAACGCCAAGTATTT